AGCCAAATTTGGGCGGAAAAATACAAACCAAATCGTTGACTTTTTTGATCAATTTTTTGTGACCCGTTGGTAACAAAAGCAAGAATTGTATAATGCTGTGTTATTTTCTTGAAAATTCAGGCTACAGTTGGTTTTGTGCAAAAATCGAAAAACCAAATGAAAGAAGTAATCCTTTATATGAAAACCCAATATAATGAAGAATTGAGGTCGGTATTAGACAGCTTCCGGTTGGAAATGAGTAAGAAGATTGAGCAAAAGAATAAACAGGGGCAAGCAGGCAAAAAAAGTTTGCACAAGGAACACGCGAAAATCTTTTCTCAGAGCAAAAATGGTGAGACAATGCTGGTTCAGAAAACTAAACACTGCCTTGCGGAGAAACTTTTTGTGGCTGCTAGTGATGGCGAAGGAAAGGATCATCGGCGCAAGTTCGAGATTAGTCTGCCAAAATGAAAAATCAAATAGGCCATAAAACACAGCTTTCAGAGTATGACTGGCCTGTGTTTTATGATCCAATTGATTGTTCATCTTGTCATATTAATGCCGACCTTCTTCTTAGTCGTTTTTTCTTGTACTCGGCTTCCCTAGTGGCAAGAAACAAGTTACCTCGAACACCATTTCCACGAGAGCTTTGTTTACTGTCAGCTCGCTCCTCCTCAAGAGCATTAACGAGGTTGGCTAATAACTACATTTTTTCAAAGTGAGAACCGCTGCTTTTCTTTGGTTTATTCTAGATTCTACGCCATATAACTTAACTCAACAAAACGGCATTTAGCCCCATGAAAATTGGGGTCATTTTGGACTTCGTGCACATCACAAAGTTCATAATCTCAAAGCGCCTTATACTTTTACAATAAAATATCTGAATTCATGGCTCTATTTTACTCCATTTTTTTTGCTTTTAAATTGAAATTTGCTATGTGCAGCGCTATTCAAACATTCAGTAAGATTTAAGTGAAAAAAAAAACAAGATTTGTCGAATCGGTTTTCGCATAGAAATTTTAAATTGGCATTTTTATTTTGAAATTAGGCATTAAAAATTCTACCTAATGCTTTTGTAAGAAGACAGGCGATCTGATTATGCACGATTGCTTGTATTGCTTGTATTAGGGCAAAACCCTGTATTAGGGCAAAACCCTGTATTAGGGCAAAACCTTGTATTAGGACACGATTGCTTGTATTAGGGCAAAACCCTGTCTGTTCCCACTGCTGACTGAATATTTATTGAGCTTAGCGTATCCCAAATTGGCAATGTCCAACAACCCCAAAACCTTGCATAAAACTGTTGCATGTAAATTATCTTACTTATTTTGAGCGCTAGGCATCAATGAGTTTCAGCTAAAAGTCCGTAAAATGTCTGGATAAAGAACTCAGATTTATTGAAAGAAAAACACGAGCTCAAAATTTTCCGTCACTTTGATCAAAAATGCAACAACAAACATTGCGTATCCTCAATTAAAAAAGTTTAAATTTGATATGCGATAATAATTTAAAACTTGAATGACGAGTTGAAACTGCATTTTGTGATTTATTGCGAGTGGACTCCTCCACAACACGCAAAAATCAGATTCGTTGTGGCAATTTTTTTGATCTTCTTTGCTGTTTTGGATTTGACAAACAAATCGCCTAATCAATGTACCACTCAAAATCGCTCAAAAAATAAGTGAAGTTATGGAATTCGCAGCAGTTTTGTTTACGGAATCCGGAACAGCTTGTAGAAGCCACAAACAAGAGCAAAAATATGGGCATACTAAAATTGATCTGTTGCGAAATCCGCATTTGTAAGCGGAATCCGCAAATTGCAAGCGGAATCCGCAAATTGTGAGCGGAATCCGCAATTTTTTGAAATTAAAATTTTAAATTGAAAATTTTTTGTGGGTCATCAGCGAGTCTGTCCAACTGTTTAATATCATTTACCGCCAACAGTTTGAAGTCAATAGCTAATACTCAAATACTTCAAATACTCAAAAAATGAACACCTTTCTAATCTCAAATACTGAAAAAATTAACATTTTTCTGATCTCCAATAATGAAACATTGAACACTTTTCTGATCTCAAATACTCAGAAATTGAATATTTTCAGATCTCAAATACTAAAAGAATGAACAATTTTTCAATTTCAAATACTGAAAGAATGAAAACAAAATAAAGTAAACTATTTTATGTGTTCTAATGCTGATATATTGTTAAACTTTATTTATACCAAACACTGAAGAGCTACATCCAATGTTTTATTGACCAATTGTGAAAGAATGGTTGTTGAATTCCACTAACAAAAATTAAATCCTTGCTTATAAAATTCGAATTTCCTTGATAATAATTCTAGCAATAGCTCTTAACTGTTCACGCAAAGACTGATTCAGTTCAGTATAACAAACAAAACTACAATCCACTTATAATTGTGGAATCCGCTTACATTTGCTGGTTCCGCTTACAATTTTGTTGAATCGGGATAGATGAGTTAATTCGCTCGTTGCGGATTCCGGGACAAAATGAAAGTAACAACAATTTTTACGTTACAGGTACTTGCTGGCGGAATCCACGGAAATGTTGTAAGTGGAATTCGCTAACACTTTGGAACATGTTTAAAGACTTGTCTCTGGAATCCAGGAACACACAGACACCAAACTGTGCACCTATCCAGTGAACAGTTTAGCCTCGTAGGTTAGAGCAGGAAAATTTTTTTTAAATGAACTGGACAAAATCAATAAAAATCAAACAAAGATTTGCCATACCCACTTGCTTATACGGGTATCATCTTTTGATTAGGAAGCAAAACAAAATCTTAAAAATAAAACTGAAAAAAACGGATCATTAGTGGGATTGGAAAAAAAATGAGTTGCTAAATTCTCATAATCATGGCTTTGCTTACATAGTTTTGGACGCAGGGAGTAAAACCATTCTATCAACGAATTCGAACCCCTGGGGTTCGACACCAAGGATTTGAACCCTTGCTGACCCAAAAAGTTCCACCTCTTTACTGTTTTGAGATATCCATTTTTGGCTTAGTGTCCCTAAACTTTTTCTAAAAGCGGCTTCAGCGCGAAAATATACGAAATTTGAGGAGGAGCTCGCCCCGAAAAACGCAATTTTTTTGGTGAAAATTTTCTAAAGGGTACCTAAAAACACTTTTTTGGCCTTTATTTTAAAAATTTGCCTGCGGCGCAAGAAATTTGGTCAAAATAGGCTCTTTATAGTGATCTGGAAAAGCTCAAAAAATCTAAATGTTTAACCTAAAAAAAGTGGAAAAAATTCTCGAAATTTGTTTTTGAAAATCCACCACCCCTCGAGTTACTTTAGGTCCGCCACTAGGTGTTAGTAAACAAGTTTAATACAAGAGAAGGGGGCGTTCAACAGTGCCGAAGTACAACAGTGCCGAAGTACAAGAGTGCCGAAAAAGGCGGGAAAATTTCAGAATAAATTACACGCATTTTTTAAAGAGCGGAAAATTACTGACGCTAATTATCAAAGAAAATCACTCCAATTTTGGCGTCAATATGTGTGCAACTGCAAATTAAACAATTTTTTTGGCGCCAAAACGTGTAAGCTGCAAATTCTCTTGCTCAAAATCTTAAAGTTTTAATTAAGATTGTAAACGATCGCTGTTTAATTTTTGATTGCCGCACTTGATATGTTGAAATTTGTTCAAATATTCGGCACTGTTGAACAAAGTTTTTATTTTCGGTATTGTTGAACAAAGTTTTGATTTTTCTAAAAGCGTCTTTGGATTGAAAATATACTAATTTTGAGGGCGGAGCATGCGTCAAAAAACGCGATTTTTTTGTTGAAAATTTTCTAAAAAGTGCCTAAAAACGCCTTTTTTGGCCTGTTTTTTCAACATTTAGGAGAGTTCAGAAAAACAATTCGGTCGACCTAAAAAAAGGTCAAAAGTTTGAAAATTTTTTGAAACTCCGTCCCCCCTCGAGAAAATCCTAGATGCGCCCATGAATCCATCCAACATGTCAAGGGCGGATCCATGACTTTCTTGAGGGGGGGGGGGGGCTGTTTGAGAAAAATTTTGAAAAAAAAAAACAGTTTTACATATTTTTTTACATATTGTTTTTACATATTGTAAATAGTTTTATTTACAATAAGAAAATAAACAAAGTTAAACAAAATTCAGTTTCAATTTTTTGCGGCAAATCTGTCAAGGACCTCTTCGACTTTGATTTCTATATCTTTGAGGATGTAAATTAGCGCCAAGTTTGAGAGTCGGTCCTCCTTCATATTGGAGCGGAGGTAACTTTTTAGTAGTTTCATGCTCAAAAAAGAGCGCTCGGTAGTGCACACCGTCACAGGGAGGTTAGCACCAATCTGAAGCCAAGCAAAAAATACTGGCATTGTGGCTTTGTGACACACTCTGAGTGAAGCTGTGAAGGTTCCTTGGATATCGGTGTACAGGGGGAAACACATGTTTTTCTAAACTTCGAACTTGCTTGTGATGAATGTCATTCATCAACTGAGGCAATTCTAGCGAGTCCCTGAGAGGTACCTGCCTCGAGTCATAAAATGAGTCCAATTTGAGGCCTCAAAAAAGACGCGTTTTCACACCTCGAGCTTTCACACCTCAAAAATCTCCCCCTAAATCCCGCCCCCTCCCATAAATGCGGCCCTGCAACATACACAAATTATTGACCAAATTAGTCAAGCAGTGACAGGACTCGAGCTTGCGTCTCTTATTGCTAGTTTGAGCTCTTTTAGATTCAGTATAACAACCTATTGACCACATGCTTCGAACAATGTTGGTTCAAGAGCGTGATATGCCAGCTTGTTGGTTGTTATAATGGTTAATGAAGCCGCCTCTAAAGCAGTTCGGACCAAAACTTAAACGCCGAACAGCCCAGCCAATTTTGAAATTTCAGAACCACTTCTTTAGAGAAATATGTTTTTTTTTTATTTTTTATCATCATAAACAGACAACTTAACAATTTAAATTTGGTGAATTTGATACTATCTGCGTAATAAAGCTATTATCAGTTAGTTAACTATCATTTGAGGAATTTGACACTATTACTTATCAATGCATTTATCAGGTTACCACCTATACTTTTGTTAGTGAATAATTTTACTTTTCAATTCTTAGCATTTTTTAAGTTTAGATGAGCTCTGAGTAGAAGTTGAACTGGTCTTCCTGGCTTTTAACAGGAAGGTCCTTCTGTCTTTTCAGAATCAAGAAGGGCTCAGTGAGATCCTCTCCGAGAGTCTCCCGCATGTACTCATCACTTTCCAGAGCATCCAGAGCTGCTTCCAGGGTCCGGGGTAGCTGCTTCTCGGGGCTGAAGCCTATGGGAGGGGGCTGAAATATTTCAAAAGACTAGGGTAAACATCAATCAAGTAACAACTTTCATCAATTTAATAGAATATAATGGACAATTTTCATTTATGCTAAGGGCATAATGCTAAGGGATTGGACATTTATGCTAAGGGATTGAAAAGTAGTGACCACTTAGGAGGAGAGTGCGCCTAGTAGATCTTCCTAATTTTCCTAAGCACAAATCTCGCGCTGAATCATTTATGATTTTATTGAATTGCAACTTCCAAAGCTTAGATTCTGTTTTTTTTTATTGAGCTCTACTGGTGACATTTGATTTAGTTTTCTCTTATCTTAGCAGGAACCTTGCTTCGACGAGAGCTGAGAAACCTTATATGAACATATGGCTCGCCTCGCGATTCTTTGGCAATCTTTTCATATTCACTGAATCATGCCACAAATCCATCCTGATTTTCTTAAGGCTCTTCATGCAAAGTGAATGGTTTCAAGAGCATTACTTGAGCTAAAGCGTTAGGCTTCTAGGCATGAAATATCGAACTGTTCAGTTTTTTCAATAGAACTGAGAAAAAAACAAGATTGCACCAAGAAATCATTGATTTATGGCCATGAAAGCTTACCTCTAGCTTGTTGCGTAGTCCATCCATTCCAGCAGCAACCACAGCTGCCATGACAAGATAGGGGTTCGCAGCTGAGCCGGGACTGCGGAACTCCAGGAAGGTATTGGTAGTCTTGCTCTTCTTTACTCTCAACATGCAGCCTCTGTGCTCATGGCCATAACAGATGTTGAACGCCGCAAACCCGCCCTCGAAAAACCTACAAAAATATATTTAATTGTTCTAGAGTGTGCTTTTCTTGACATTTCCAGCATTTACAAAAAAAAATAAATTTACAATTTTAGCAAACGAATATAATACTATTACAACTGAAGTAACATATCTGTTTGTTCTGATTGCAGTCAATTATTGCAACTAAAATATACAGTTCGACAATATAGTATCATTTTATGCTCAAACAACTAATTTGGAAGCAAGATTTTGAGCGCAATCATCAAAAAAAACCGCTCAAACCGCTCAAATCTTGCTTCAAATTAGGTGAAAAATCTCGACTCGGGTAATAATTAGATTTTATTGAAAATCAAATTGATTACAATCGATTGCAATTTATACTAATTTAAGTCACCAAAATCGATTTTTGAGCGGATTTTTTGATACCGATTATAAACATATTTTATGCTCTTTATATACCCATTTTACACAGATTATACACAATATAACAAGAATTTATTTTCGTTTCAATTTTTTATGGAAAAAAAATTAATTGAAAATCATAGCCAACCGACAATTGGAAAAGACAATGAACACAAGCAAACAAAACAAACACTGAATTCTTTTTAAAAAAATTCAATTTACGAACTTCCAAGAAACAAATAGATGGCTCTAAAGCTCTTTGAATTTCTATAACCACTTGTGACTAAAACATTTAGATAAAGTTTGAGATGAACCCAATTTAGATAAACCCAACATTTAGATAAACCCAATTTGAGAAAACAGGATCACCAGGTAAAACTTTTTATTCTGCTGGGAAATTTGAAAACTTAAAATCACATTTGAACTAGGAAAGAATCGCATTTTGTGCGCTATTCTTTTTTTTCGTAAATGGGGAGCATAATACGCCCTCTTTTTACCATATGAACTTAAAAATAAAGCTGAAAACAAAACAACAGTTGCCGCAAAAGATCAAATTTGCCATGATTAAATTTTGAAATCTTCCTAAAAAGTCAACACGGTCTACAGAGGTGACATCACTTTTTTACGCAAAAGCAGGTACCACAAACAACCATCAGAATTAGTTGATTGATATATCATTTTAAAGCACTTTCGGCCACGAGCCGATCCGACGCAAAATTAAATTATTTAAACAAATTCCTGCTTAGTAAAAAATCGATGTTTTCACATCGATTCATTATTTCTTAGTCAAATTTAGAGCTAGGAAAGGGAAGAGGAGCGAGTTTGTATTTTTCCAGCACCAAGAAATGCAAAAGCACTGAAAACTTGAGCCTTAAAAAATGAAAAAATCATTTGGGATAATTTTTTGATCGGGAGGCCAAACGCAGCTCGCA